CATTATAATTATTATTATTATACTTTGAAATTTCTCTTTTAGTATCTGAAGTTTGGTGGTATTATTAATGTATGATATTGTGTCATAATTGTTTAATGAAAAAAAATGGCAATAATAATTTTTTATTTTTAATTTTAAACAAGATACAAGCGAGCTGACAAAATACATCATGGAGATAATCAATTTTGAAGGAAAGAGCAACTGGATGGTGTTCATGGAGAGCAGCAGAAAAAAAATGATACTTAGACAGATATTAAGGTATTTTAAATAATAAAAATTATTCTACTTCTGTAAAATGCTTTTTTTTTAAATTATGTATCATCACAATAATGCTTTATAAATCATATCGCATGTTCTTAAATACAGTATATCAAATGTTGTATTTTCATTGATATCCATTTTGGTTATGTTGTTGGGAGACCTTTACTATTAGCAAGCACCAGTCTTCCTAAGCATTAACTTATTTGTCCATTTTTAAATGTTGCCCCTTTTTTTCAATGTATGGTGTTTATTTATTTTTATTTTTATGTTTTGGAACGTTACTGTACTTCCCAAACTATTATGAACTAATAATAATAATAATAATAATAATAATAAATAATAATAATAATAATAATAATAATAATAATAATAATAATAATAATAAAACTCTTACGCCCTTTGTACCACATCAAAACCAAGGGAAAAGTGAGCACACAATATAATTAACACTTAAAATTGTTTACTTTCCATTGCCTAGATTGAATTATATTGTTATGTATTGCCTAATTAAAATATATTTATATTTATCTTTTCAGCTTCTTTAATTGTTACGACGCAGGATGAAAATCAGATACTATGGTGAGATATGTTTACATCTATCCGGTTTTAATCGATATGCAAGCTACATGGAAACAGATGGACTCGTCAATTTGTCTCTGCATTCCTGCTGTTACAGACAGTTTTGTTTAGCATTCTTGTTTATATTTTTGAAGAGACCTGGGACTTTCAGATGATGGGAAATTTATATTTTCTCTGAATCAACTTACTATTGAGAACTGATTGTTCAAACCCCATACCCTTTTTGTGAAAATAAATTTACACACTAATTACTGCACATATTAACACAAAGCGCAATAACACATTTTGTTGTGCAGTACTATAATGTAGTGTGAATATATTAAATTTTCTACTTATAAAGTGCAATAGCAATTTGTACAAAAATAACTGTCAGTATTAAGCTGATTGCATACCTTTAATTTGGATTCCTGATGATGACATAATTGATATCAAAGTATTGAATCCATAAACTTTGAGTATGTGTTATTCTATCTGTATTCGAGATTAATCAGTGGACCTTTCGGTTTAATTTGGATTCTTGTATTTTTAAAGGTTTATTTTGTTCATTAAAAATATAACATGTAGAACATAATGTTTGTGTCTATTTGTAAACTAAAGTGTAAGAAGAATGATGATTGTAAATGATACTGGCTATTTTCACAGATGAATATTGGATCATTGTTTACATTTATTTATATTTTAAATTTTCTTTATTTTAGAGCCATCCTAATTATTGCCATCAAAATATAAAATG